CAGTCCACAGAGTTTAATACAATATGTGTTGGGAAAAGCACTGTGACAGGGGATTATATACTGCCATTTTTCTAAGGACTTAACTTCTGTGACATGTTCAGAGTGTGGAAAACGTACGATGTGAGTGGACACTCCAAACTATTCAAGAGCAACTGAGATGATTTATATATGCAATCCTGAACAAATAAACGCAGTGAAAGAATAGGACCCATAGAAAGTTGGGAATTGAAAGGATCATTACTCAAATATAGTGCCCTGTAAAAATCAAATCATTTCATGGTATCCCTTAAAAACAAAAACTAAAGAAAAATTTGGGTTTTTTCACTTATAGGAATACTGAGTTCAAGGCCAGCCTGGTCTCCATAGTGAGTTCCAGGACAGTAGCTGGGGCAACAGAGAGACCCTTTCTCAAAAAGACCAAAAAAAAAGAAAAAAAAAAAGGAATACTGAGCTTCTGTTAAAGCATGTTTACATTAGTAGATTCTAGTTTGTATTTTCATGTTCAATCCTAAGAACTGTTATGATACGTGAAACCTTCCAAAATCACATACATTTTCATGGAAATAGATCATTTTCTAATGCAAACCATGTACTATTATTCACATGTATAATATGCAAGTAAATTACATAAATTACATAGGGAGATTCAGGATCCTTGGGATATGTGACTTTTTTTTTTTTTTCTTTTTGAAGCAGGGTCTCCCAGTAGCCCCAGGTGTCCTGGAACTATGTAGATCAGACTGACCTTGAACTCACAGAGATACACCTGCCTCTGCCTCCCAAGTACAGACAGATATGTATCAAAAACTGTGTAAATGTTAAAAAACAAACACACACACACAAAAACTTTTCACTTTACTTCATATTTCAGGTCTTTTGTCACAGCAAAGGAATTTCAATCACACATAACCATTGTGAATTTCTGTCTGTCGTCATCTGTTTCCGTACCTATTGTAGAAGGTGCACATACATGTAAGCACTCATTTATGTTGTCTTAGTCTTAAAAGAACTTTATCCAGAATCCCACATGCTTACACCTTTCTTTCACTGTAAAGGAAAATCCAAATCCATGTGTTCAGTTGTCCCACAAAGAAGTGGGTGGGGGGGTAGATGTAAAGAAAAGTAGTGGCAATTTTTAAATATATCAGTAGTCATAAATTAGGATTAAAATGACAAGGCCAGGTAATCTTCATTATATTTATCATGTCTCTAATATATTTTATTATCCCTAAAAATAGATCATGCAAATTACTTGAGAGTAAGTCCCAAAGGAAAAGATGCCTGGGAAAAATCAATCCACAGATTTACGCAAATTTGCAAGATCATCCTTTGTTTATCATCCATTGAAAGATGTGAGAGTTTGTTTTTGGAAAGAAGGTAGTATTTTGTTAAAGAATTTCTTTGTTAAGTCATTAAACACATGATTGATTTATTAAAATATCAACTTATATGCAGCTTTAAAAATTTCCAAACAAATTCAATGCATTTTATTCAAAATGTATCTTGAAAGAACTAAAGAAACAGAATTTCTTTAAATTAATAGATAATTTGGAAGTCAATACACATTTTCATAGAGCAACACTAAAGTTTATTAGAGTCTTGAATGAATACATACTTATAACTTTTAATGATTTATTTTCAGTTATCTCATTATTTAGCTTTACATAAAATTTTTATTAATATTCAACAATATCTTCAAGAATATTTAAAATTTTAGTTTAATAAAATATTAGTAATTCACTGGACTTCCATGTAATCATCTTATTAATCAAAATATAGTTCACGTCAAAAATTCAGGATTGGCTGTTTTGAATTACCAGGGGACTGATGCCCAGCACCGCTACTTTACACTGAAATTCATTCTTAGTGCACTCAATAAATAAAGCAAACCAAGTTTTCAATGTTGTTCGTGAATTTTGCATGAGGAATTGTTTATTCACAGTGCAAATAATATTAATAATGCATTGATAATGTACTATGGATTCATCAGTTTTCATGCAGCAGCTATTGAAATAAATTATCACATCATCCTTAGAAAGCAAGACAGATTGAATTTATTTCTATATTAAACTAACAAATAGTGTACTGTCTTCAGAAAGCCACAGTACTGGGAACACAACTACATTTCCTGTAGATATGATTTTATCTAAACATGTATGAATATGTATCAGTATACATTTTTGTGTATTCACATTTTTGTGTAAATATAATAATTTATAATCCCATCTTACATAATATCTTTTTTCCATCATTAATATTCTGTCTTGGAATAAAATGTCTTTATTTTATTTTACTTTTTTTTTTTTGAGACAGGGTCTCCCTGTAATCCCAGCTGTCCTGGAACTCGCTATATAGACTTGGCTGGCATTGAAATCACAGAGATCCACATGCATCTACTTCCTGAGTACT